GAAATCCTGCGAAGGCTAGACTCGGAGCGTCCTTCGAAGGCCGTGTCGGCCGCATCATTCGAATTTGACATAGGGAAAGAGTTGCAAGCATAAGCGCCAAATCAAATGAACGTGTCTGCATGAGTACAGTGCAGCTGGTAACTAAAGAGAGAGGGGGAAACCCGCCTACTCACTGTTATAGCTTGCTATTAGAAATACTCTGAAACACAGTGATCTCTTCCACTTATTTATTTCAGCTCAATGCAGCAGCGGAGCTGAAAGAAAGTAATTAGTTGGGCAGACTAATGCTTGGTAGCTCGAAGCGCCAAAAACATAGTGCACAAATAACTTCTGCTGCATGACTCCTCAGAGTCTGCGTCTAAAAACAGTACACGAACAAGAGTTGGAAGCATAAGTGCCAAATCATATGAACGTGTCTGCATTAGTACACCGCAGCAGTAGAGAGAGAGAGGGGAAAAACCGCCTGCTCACTGTTATAGCTTGCTATAAGAAATACAATGAAACACAGTGAGCTCTTCCACTTATTTGTTTCAGCTCAATGCAGCAGCGGAGCTAAAAGAAATAGTAATTAGTCGGGCAAACTAATGCTTGCTAGCTTGAAGCACCAAAAACCATTGTGCACGACTTAAATGGATAATTCACCCAAAAATGAAAAATGGATGTTTATCTGCTTACCCCCAGAGTATCCAAGATGTAGGTGACTTTGTTTCTTCAGTAGAACACAAAGATTTTGAACTCCAGCCGTTGCAGTCTATCAGTCTTATAATGCATGGCAATGGTAACAAAATCTATGAGAGTAAAAAAAACATGCACAGACAAATCCAAATTAAACCCTGCGGCTCGTGACGACACATTGATGTCCTAAGACACTAAACGATCAGTTTGTGCGAGAAACCGAACAGTATTTATATCATATTAGGTAAACTACACTCTTAAAAATAAAGGTGCTTCAAAAGGTTCTTCAAGCGATCCCATAGAAGACCCATTTTTGGTTCCACAAAGAACCATTCAGTCAAAGGTTCTTTAAAGAACCATCTCTTTCTTACCTTTTTATAATCTGAAGAACCTTCTTTCACCACAAAGAATCTTTTGTGAAACAGAAAGGTTCTTCAGGTGTTAAAGGTTCTTTATGGAACCTTTTAGACAAAAGGTTCTTCTATGGCATCGTGAAGCACCTTTATTTTTAAGAGTGTAAGTTCTCATTCACACACAAGTTTATGTTAAAAACACACGAGTTACAAAAACAGTCGGTTATGTCTGTGAAGGTAAACAGCTGGGAAATAAATCACTTGTTTATTTTAGATCTGTGTGGCAGAAGCGATATACAGTAGCCGAAATAAATCAATAAATCACTGCTGTCTTGTCTCCCCTGAGGCTGGGACTCTAAACAGTGTTCTGTGCTCGTCTGTGCAGCCAAAGACAGAACAGTTAGCATGTTTTGCTCAAACTTTCACCATGGCATTAGAGCTGGTACACCGTTTTCGCTTGCGAAATCAAAATGACGGTGCCTTTGAGTGGAAGTTTACAGATTAAGGGGCAGTAATATTATAATGAGATCCCTTTGCCACGTCACCAAGGGAGTGAAATCAGATGCTTAGTTTTCTCAGAGGCTTGCAGAAAAAGGCTTACCTAAACAAAGGGATTGGGTTAATCTTTTTCACGTTTCCTTGGTTGGTAGATGCACCAGGGACCTGATTATAGCACTTAAAACCTGGAAAAGTCAGATTTTCATGATATGTCACCTTTAAGGATCTTCTGCTCTTTCAGTTTGCACTGCAGATGTTGGATGGAGCTGAACCTCAGAACCTGAACTGTCCTACATATGGTGGAGTTCTTGGCACTCCTGGACACAACGGTCTACCTGGCAGAGATGGGAGAGATGGTAAAGATGGAGCAATTGGACCCAAAGTAGAGAAGGGAGAGTCAGGTCTGTGAAAGAGAGTGAGTGAGTGAGTGAGTGAGTGAGTGAGTGAGTGAATGAGTGAGTTAGTGGTTCACCAACTGTGTAATGAAGGGAGATGAGATTTCACACCTACTATACTGTCTTAGGAGTGAATGTGCAGGGGCCGCCGGGTAAAGTAGGTCCACCTGGGCCAGCTGGAGAGAAGGGGGAAAAAGGACTCCAAGGTCTACCAGGTATTAAACATTACATGCTTTTATTTAGCTTTTTGAAAATTCCTTGTCTGAAATTACAGTTTCAGGCAATATGAAAATGATAATTTTTTTTATCTCAAAAAACATTTTTGTTAACATTTTATATTTAATAATTTATTTTCATCCATGTAGGAATGTACCTAAGTGTAATTATTATATTTCCAGGATTTCCTGGTCATGACAGCATATCTGACTCCCTAAAATCTGAAATGCAGCCAGCAACTTAATGCCAAGATTGCCATGATTGAGAAGGTTGTTGAGTTTTAACCAGTCTATGGTTTTTAAGATATTCAGAAAAGTTGGACAGAAATACTATGTCACTGATGGTCAGAGGCGGACTTAACCATTAGGCAAAGGTAGGCGACCGCCTTGGGCCCCCCAAAAGCCAAGGGCCCCCTAAAATGCTTTTTATATGCGAGATGCGCGTTCAGTGCGGACACACAAGTGGTTGCTGTGGTTTTCATTAGCACGACAACCGTCTGTGCGTCCGCGTTGAACGTGCTTCTTCGCAAAAGTAGGGCGATGTAGAAAATGGGGACGGAATCCCGGAATCTATTCATAAAAACGGAGTTTACTGTGTAACGCGGAATGTGACGGAATGAACGGCGCAGACGCCCGTTTCGTTTGCTAGTTTGCTATTTAAGCACCTGCAACGCTCGGGGTTGTCGTCTGTAGTAGCTAAACAGTATTTTTGCCATTTAATATTCACATACACTAGTCCATATCGCGGTTTGATTGAAGTGTACTGAATTGCATTTGATTTATTCATTCAGTATTTGACGAATTCCGTGACATTGCCCGTTACACAGTAAACTTGTGGAGCATTTTGAATGTACAAAAATTAAAGGGTTTGTTTAATTTCCATTGGCATAAAAGCTAGATTAATGTTTTCGCCTTCATTTGATTACCAGAAAAATGAAAATACACAACACAGAATTTGTAAAAAAAATAAGTAAATAAAATAAAAATTTCATAGGGCCCTATTATTGTATACAAAAATTAATAAATTAAGTTGTTTTTATAAATTCAATTAATTAGATATGTTTTTGATTAAACCATTAAAATGGAATGCAGGAAAAAAAAGAAAGTGCAGAATTTGGGCCCTAAGAATGTAATTTTTGTTAAACTTTTAATAGGCCTAAATTGCTGTTAAATTAAACAAGTTTCATGATTTTAATTAATTAGACATGTTTTTTGTTTAAATGTAATATAATCATCCAGAAAAAAAGGGAAAAAAACTGAATCCAGTCCAATTAAAACAGAAAAAAGGATTTTGGAAAAAATAAAACGTAGGCTAATTTGGGAAAAATAAAACGGATTTCATAGGGCCCTACAAATATCATGCATCTGAAGCTATAATTTTAATACTAAGCAACAGTGCATATTATATAGGGCCTATTTTATTTTTTTTAAATGGCCCTCACTCGTTTTTGTGAAAGACCCAAGAAGGACCATGCACAGTCACTTTCCACACAGGCACACTTCATGTTTGGTTGAAGTAATCCTTAAGCATGTACATTTATAATTTCCTTCAGTTTAATTTAAATGTGCAATTAAAATGAATAAAAATAAATGTATATTTTAAAGTTTAGAATTAGACGGCCTTGCGTTGTGTAGACAGTTGCATAGTGAAAATTACCCCAACGCACCACCTAGTGTCCAACCTACTCTAATACTATTATAACCTGTTTAAATGTGAACAAGGGATTTACAACATTAAAGAAATCCTTTATTTATAACATGTACATGAAAAATCTAAAAGATTGGACACAACTATGGGACACGATCGTGCAGCAGCGAGCAACACTGAAAGGAACCTCAAGGTTGTAGATGTGTGAAATTGTATAGGGCCCCATTCCTGTATTTTGCCTGGGGCACCCAAATCACTAAATCCGGCCCTGCTGATGGGTTTGAGGCAGCTTTTGATGCAGTACTGTTAGGACGTTGGTGGAAGAATAGTTTTGCCAAGAGCTTCTATACAGAGAACAATGCAATATTGAAATTAGTAGTATCCAGTGGTTTAGGTAGTAAGAAGCCATATATTCGTGTCACAGACAGAGAAACAGAGGGACGGTTTGTGGACACTGAGGGGAAGCAATTGGCATTTACCAACTGGGGTCCTGGTCAGCCTGATGACTATAAGGGACTACAAGACTGTGGTGTTATAGAGGACTCTGGCCTTTGAGATGATGTCGGTTGTAATGGTCTACATCCCATCATATGTGAAATAGAAATCTGATAGAATGTATACCACATTAAAAAGTATGCATATCTGCAATATTAATATGTTATTAACAGTGCACACAGAATGCACAGTTTAAATCACATTGTCAAATGTATCCTTTAAAGAAAATTACAGTGCATGAAATATACAAAAATAATTGCCATAAATGTTTTTTTAACACATTAATAAATGCATTTTTACGATTATTTGTCATAAATCAAAGTGTCTCTTTTATTTCATTGCAAATCTGACATCAATTGCATAACTAACAGAACTAAAAACCACAGAAATTTACGAAAACTAAAAATTGATAAGATACCAAAATTGCAATTCACAACCACTAAGTAACAAATATGAATTACTTTCAGTCAATTACATATGAGCCCTGCATAAGGTTTACTGAAAAGTGCGTCAGCTGAAAATGTGTAGGGTAATCTACAGATGGTATTAAATCGATTAGTAGGTAAAAGTTTCTTGCAGGAGCTCAAGCGTTTGATGTCCTGGCGTTTTTTTTTTTAACTGTTCAAACAAAGTGAATTTGCACCAGACAAACACAACAGACAAACAGATAGAGGGGAAATTTGTAGATACGCACAACCAACCTCTAACTTTTACTAAATGGATGAAAAATGAACCTAATGATTATTGTGGGAATGAGGATTGTGTTGCCATACACAGATGGTGAATGGAATGACATTCCATAAAAACATAGAGTGCATTTGAAGCAATTATTTAGTTTCAAACATAAATTGTGAGTAAAAATGTTCTGGTTTGGCTACAATCATTGCCTTCTGAAAAAGGGGAAAAGGGAGATCCAGGTTTATGCTTTTAGTTGTTGGTGTATTATGTTTAAGTTAAGTCATGAAGTTTGATGTAGAACATAATGCAGACAAGGTAAGGTGACTGCAGATCTGAGAAATTAGATTTAATCATCAATCTTACTCTGCAGGAGTTGGTGCACAGGGACCCCCAGGGAAAATAGGACCACCTGGTGTTGCTGCCCCTAAAGGAGACAAAGGGAATCCAGGTACACCAGGTAAAATTAAAGCACAGTGAATAGTTTCTTTTATTATTCATGTTTTATTTTATTAAACAGAAAATCATTTATTCAAGCTTGGTGTCTATCTTTTTTCTTCTGAAAACAATGCAAGAATAAAAATAAAAAATCAGTCAAACAATCAATAAACAATGAGATTATATACTGCGATCAAGTATTTTCCTTTAACCATATCTTAATTGAGTTTATAGTTACATATAGACAGAATATAGCTACTTGGTATTTTCTGCTTCTGATATTCACTCTGCTATGCTTTTACAGGCACTGGTGTTCAAAGCGCATTACAACTTAAATCAGATGTCAAATACCTAACAGACAGACTCACTATAGTTGAGAAAGGTAGAATTTTCCAATAAAAAATGTTTGCACTATACATGTTTTGTTTATTCATGTAAGATGTTTATAAGATCATTTCTTTAAATTTTTTTTTTTTTTTTAATGTTTAGTCCTAGGATTTCGCATGTTCAGGAAAGTGGGACAGAAGTATTACGTGTCTGATGGTCTGGTGAAAAATTTTGAAAAGGCACAGAAGTTCTGCTCTGACGCTGGGGCTAAAATTGTCCTGCCAAGAAGTGAAGATGAGAATAACGTGCTAACTTCAATGCAGGCTGCCCTTGAGTCTACTTACGTATATGTTGGTGCAACAGACAGAAAGAAAGAAGGGCATTTTGTGGATATGAGTGACCAACCATTAATTTTCACCAACTGGAAGGAAAAAGAGCCGAATGATTATAATGGAGCAGAGGACTGTACAGCTATTTACAAAAGTGGTGTGTGGAATGACATTAACTGTAATTCAGATTGGCATGTGGTGTGTGAACTGTGAAACAGATTATGAATTTTTACTGCTCTGATGTTTGAATGAAGAAGGAATAAAAGAAATCTTATAAAAACAGTGTGTTTTAGCCTCATGAAAAACATCCATTAATATTCTACTAGCTTACTATCAGGTACAGTTCAGCAATGGTTTGAAGTTAAAATGTCTTAATAAATTTGTTTAAACATGCAGCTTTTTGTTTCACAAAACATTAACTGATGGACTGGAGTTGTGTGAATTACTTGAGGATTATTATGATGTTTTTATCAACTCTTTGGACTCTCGTTCTGCGGACACCCGTTCACTGCAGATGATCAATTGGTGAGCAAGTGATGTAATGCTAGATTTCTCCAAAACTGTTCAGATAAAGAAACAAACTCATCCACATCTTAGACGTCCTGAGGGTGAGTAAATTCTCAGCACATATTCATTTTTGGGTGAACTATTCCTTTAGTGAAATGCAATCAAGACTTGTAAAATAATGACACACTGATTTTTTTTGTGGCTGTTAAAAATGTATTGCATACTGGAAAATTGATACATTCATTTCGATATGAAATCCATATGGTTACCTAAGTTAAAAACACAAGAAAAGTATAATACAATGTTCTCTTTCTTTGAGGCAAATATCACACAAATATCTTTACAACACTAGTGGCATAAACATATTTTCAATCCAATTCTGGATTCTGTGGACGCTCAAAAGGGGAAAAGCAGAAAACCGCTGAAACTGGTGTAGCTGTTTTCATCATCAAAAACCCAGCTGTTCTCCCTCAGCTGTGTGTACACTTCATCACCCTTCTGCAGTGAGAGAACAACACCATTGCTGCCATTAGCATTGGTCTCAGGATTCAGAAGAAATACAGAGCATTGGATCTGATTATTTTTGTGGAGACTGACTGCCATTTGGTTAGAAGGGTGAGCGTGAGCATAAAATCTGAAGAAATAGACTCCATTCACTGGTGCGGTGAATGTACCTTTGAGATACATAAACATATGAATTTAGGAACTGTAAAGAAAGGCCTTTTATTACTTGAATATCCATACTCGCAATGGACAATTAACATAATAAAGAAATATGAATAGCACAGTTTACCAGTGTTGGGGTCATATGCGTTTCCAGTGTTAATGAAGTTTTTTTGGTACACCAGAATTTTCCGAGTATCAAAGGGTCCAAAATGTTGTGATCCAGATGCCAAAAGTCCAGCTGAAAAGGCAACCTTTTTGGCTGTAAAGTTAAGGGAATTTTTTTTTTTTGGTCATCATTTCACTTGGTTTTATATCTAACATAACAGAATAAATATTTTCATTTACCTTTATTTTCTGCCTGGATAGATTCAAGTTTATCACTTGATGCTTTTGTGAAAATCCTTAAAGCTGTTCAATGAACATTGAAGAATTTTGTTATTGTGTTTTGGGATGGAAATGATTCATCAGATCAATGTATTTTGTGAAGGTGAAAATGGATCAAACTAAATAGATGAGATGTAGATATGGAAAACTCATGCAAGATATTTACCTTCATTCTCTTTCTTCAGTTCTGTAAGTGTTTCCTCAGTGGCTCTAAGCCTTTCCTCAATGTTCTTTAGCTGTGCTGATGTAATGAAATCATGCGCCAGTGAGACCCCAACAAAAAGCAACAAGAGTGTCTTTTGAGCTGCCAACATCTTCTGGCTAAAGTTTTTATGGTGCATGTTGAATTTTGCACAGTTTGGGGCAATATGAAACCACGATACAGTAAAAGTAAACATGACCTTTGTCTTGTTTGGACTTGCATCACTGACTCCGACTAATCTGCAGTAATAATAACACTTCAGATTTGTTTTGGGAATATTCTATTCTTCTAATATAATTTTACAACTAATACTAAGTGCATTGATATGAAACTAATCAGCATAGAAATATATTGAATGTATTTGAAAAGCGTTTACTGTTGTCTCCCAATATAAAGATGAATTAAATAAGTCAAATGTTTAGTCTTTTGTCACTTTGAAAGAGGAAAAGCCTGTATAGTGACGTTTTTATTGCCAATTTATATATATATACATAAAAAACAAGCATGAATGAACAACAAATGCAAATTTATAGACTTAATATATATTTTATATATGTTAATTTAGATTTGTTTATAAAAAAATATGCTTAATATAATATTAAAATATAAATAACTGTATTTTTAAATACATTGAATTATTGAACACCTACACATTTTTGAAGATTACAATTTAAGTTTTTTTTTAATATAGCTAGTAAGCTAGTAATACTACACATTCTCAACAATTATGCTTTAAGCAGTGTATTAGTAGTTAGTTAGTATGCTACACTTTAAGAAAAGTCTGTAAAAATAGGGCACAATCTATGCTAATATGAAACAATTTTCTGTATTGGTTTTTTACCTGCATTTTAAATGACAGATTGTGTTTTCGGGTTACAATGGATAATGACTTAATGGTTTACAAGAATCTTTTCCATTTTTCTTACAGTGTACTAACTGATCAACAATCGCAAGTACAAGCTACTAACAAGGTGTATCATAAATGAACAATTATTAAATTATTATTATTATTAAATTGAACAACTGCAAATAGCAGCTAACTCAGTTCACGTGATGTGTGTACTGCCAGGCATCTTTGGTTTCCTCTTTTTTTGTGTAATTTGGATGGAAAATGTGTATCTTTTTATTGTCTGAGTCACTTATCAAAAGTTGCTGAAAGTTGCCAAATAATTTTTAAAAATGGCTAAATTTGTTGCTGGGTGCTTTTGGAAGAAAAATTTGCGAGGGTAGCCTGAAAAGTTGCTAAATTTAGCAACAAAATTGCTAAATTGGCAACACTGACCGAACATAATGTTAATTCTCACGAAACAAAATCACATACTTTTCAAACATTCATGTGCCTGCTCTATGATTGGATAAAAAGTTAATTTAGGGCGTGACGTCACACTGTCGGTTGAACGAAGAAGGAAAGAGGCCAACTTCCGGTATGATGCGCTGAACAGGGACCAAAGAACATAACTGCAAGGAAAATGCGGTAGGCTGTTGTCATAACTGAAAGAGAAATAGAAACACAGCACATCTCAGTGCTAACTTTACGACTTTTAAATAAATGTGGCATATGGTTAAGTTATATGGCCTAAGGGCTTTGTGACGGAAGCAATCGGGTTCGCTGATCAGTCATCGATCGATCGATCGGTATTAGGGAGTGCGCGAGCTCTGCGCGCGGTTGAACATGGGGACGAGATCGAGCCGTTTACACGAGGAGGCTGCTTCGACACCTTTTGATAAAGATGGCATCAAGAGAGAGTCCTGTCGACGAATCCGAAGCACCAGGCCCACTAGCCTCATGGTGGAGTTCTCCGGGAGTTTCGACCATGACTCGGAGACGAACCGCAGCCGGTCGGAAGAGGGCAGCGACTCGGATACCGGGCAGCAGGCGAGCAGCGACGGCAGCCCCGCCGACAGCCACATGTCCCCGTCTCTGAGCAGCCAGGCCACGCCGACGGACGAGAACGGGGCCGAGGAGGATGGCAGTCCAGGAGGCCCTGTGAGCAGGGGGGAAATAGGCCGTGCACCGCAGCGCACTTTCTCGGAGCGTTTGCCCGGTGGTCGCCATTCTTCCGCCAGCGGCGTCACAGGCAGGTCCGCCCGGGTGAGGGGGACTCACGCTCGGCCAGTGTCTGAGGCGTGGATCGGCCTCTACAGGGTCAACAACCGCCACGGTGGTAAGTTGAAAGACTCGCCGTTCCTTTCCCGCAGTAGTCATTTCAGACGTTACACCCTATTCAGCTCCAGTTCTGTCATTTAAACCTGCACTGTTTACATTGAGAAAAAAATAATAATAATATATATATATATATATATATATATATACACACACACACACACACACACACACGTATAAACCAAAATAATCTTATATGGTATTCAAAGAGAGCGTTCACCCCAAAATTTAAATTGTCATCGTTTATTCTCCTTATGTTGTTTCAGATCTATATTAGTTTCATTAAAATGTCAGACAGCCCTCTTCACCATTAACTTTCATTGAAAGTGACTGCATCTGCCAGTCACTAATATTCATCTCATTTGGTTTTCCACATGCAAGCAAATGTCAATCCAAAAACGTTCATTAATCTAGTTAGCTTAATGAAAGTTTGGTGACACTTTATTGTAAGGTTCCATTTGTTAACATTCATTAACAAGGACTAGCAATAATATTTGAAAGCATTTATTAAGTTTTGTTAATGTTAACTTCAACATTTATTAATATATTATTAGAATAAAAAACTGTTTATAATATTTAGTTGTCCTGAGCGAACATGAACCAACAAAGAATAAATACTGTAATGTATTGGTCATTGTTAATGCTTTAACTAATGGGATCTTATTGTAAAGTGTTACAAAAAAGTGTTACTTTTTATTTTATTATAAAAAGTTTATATACATAAAGTAGACAACAAGCCCATTTTGACTAATGTGAGTTAATTTTCAGTATTATCTGTTTTAAACCAAATAAAACATGGAAGGTGATTAAAAAAAGATTGAGTCTATACGAGACTAATGAGCTTGTGATGTAATTAGGCTTTTTAGACATTTCAAGCATTTCTGACATGATCTATGATGGATTGAAACGCAAAGACCAGAGGTAAACCCAGTTCACTTGATGATCTTTGTGTATTTTTTTTTACACACTATATTGGTCCGTTGGCTGTAGTCCAGCCAGAAGGTTCAGAAAAGTGGGCCACATGGGCGCATACTCCCCCGTCTATTACTGTGACTGGCCTGCATATCACAAAACCCTTTCTACATCTCAATTTTACAATGCTAGACAACTTGCTTGATTGTTTTCCCCTCCTTTCCAGCTATTCGGTGTCCCTTCTGCACCAAGCCGTTCCCTGGAGGGCGAATCGAGGACCATCTTCTAAGTTGTCTGACTTCTCCACCTCTCCCTTATAACAGTAAGCATCCCATTTGTTTTTATTGTTGATTTTCTTTCATCTGCTAATAACTTGGTTGTTAATTCTCTTATCTTGTCCAACAGCTGATGTGCTAGCTAAGGACAGTGGAGAGTGTTCAATCTGTCTCGAAGACCTGCTACAAGGGGAAACTATTGCTCGACTGGCCTGCCTGTGTGTCTACCATAAGAGGTAACCATAACCATCCTAAATCCAAATAATAGTCAGGATTTACATTTAGACATTTAGCAGACACTTTTATCCAAAGCAACTTACAAAGTGAGGACAATGGAAGCAATCAAAATCAACAAAAGAGCAATGATATGCAAATATCATATATAATATATATACTGTACATATGCTATACAAATGCTTTCAAATATGTAATGGCTGATATTTCTCTAAATAGCTGCATTGACACATGGAGCAAAGTGAAGCCATGCTGCCCTGAGCATCCTTTTGATTGATTCATGTCTTCACGTGCAATGACACTTTGACTCAGGTGAGTTTGGTTATTCAAGTAGTTTTCTTTGTTAAAAATGTTAAAATAAGTTACATTTATTAAAATGTCATGTCACTCACCTTTATATTGTTCCAAACCTGTATGACCTTTTAATCTGTGGTAAAGAAAATATTTTGAACAACGTTTCAACAGTTTTTAACCCTAAACCCCATTGACTATGATTGTATGCACACTAAAATATTTCAAAATATCATATTTTGTGTTCCACAGAAGAAATCCATACAAGTTTTTGAAAAATTGAGTGAATGATTCCTTAAAAGGAATTTGCTGAAAATGTCCTCAACTTTAGGCCATCCAAGATGTAGAGGAGTTTGTATTTCCATCTGAAAAGATTGAGAAATTTAGCATTACATCACTTGCTCACCAATGGATCTTCTGCAGTGAATGGGTGCCGTGAGAATTAGTCTACATCACAATAATCCACAAGTAATCCACACGACTCCAGTCAATCAGTTAACTCATTCCCATTCACTGCAGAGGATCCATTGGTAAGCAAGTGATGTAATGCCAAATTTCTTGAAATTCATTCTTATGAAACAAACTCGTCTATGTCTTGGATGACCTGAGGGTGAGTAACTTAATATTTTAAGTGTATATTTTTTCTGCTTCATGTTTTAGGAGACAATACCCCCTTGCAGGAGCATATATTTTCTGATGAGAGGATTGAGAGAAAGACACAAAGGAACAAAAACAAATAACAAGCATCAACACTTGTGGTCAGATTAATCAGTCTGGCCTTGAGTGAGCCTGGCTTTAACTATCTGATGTGATTCTTGAGACTTGGCTTTTCTCTGCTCTACAGCACCTGCGTGAATGGCGGGTTTGCTCTGCTTGCCTTTCCTCGCAACTCTTTTCTTTAAAGCTCAGAGTGAAACTTGTAAACTGAACAGAACTTTGTAAAAGAAACATGTAGTTGGTGAGAAGTTACACATGGATCACCTCTCTTCATGGACATCTTGATCTCCCGGAGGGATGGTGTTCTTCTTACCATGGAAACGTGGCGATCTGTAATTTATGCCAGGCTTAGCGTTTGGTTTTGTGCAGCCTGCTGGGGTTGCGTTGGCTTGAATGAACTACTTGATTTTGTAGAGTGTGTTGGGAAGATCCCGGATGGAAAGCAAATGAGTTGTACATGCGTAAATATTGCACAGGATTACATATGATTGAAGGCATGATGATTTATATTTTGGGGGAGAACTTTCGGTTGATTAACCCAAAACCTTGCTTACTCGAGGTATGGGGTTCCAAAAACGTGTCCAGGAGTAAGTTTACTCAACCCAGAATATATTCCTGGTTAAGACTCAAGACATTCTCAACAGAGCGACGAATCGATGAGTCACTATGGAAACGGACGCTAAGAAAAAGCGTGCCATGCTGTTTCTTTCTTCTTCTTTTGTTCAATGGTCATTTACATGCTTAGTGCATATCGCCACCTAATTGATGGTTGTGTAATCATTTTTTTTTTTTTCGTTTAAAGGGGTGCGATTAAAGATGCAATCAATTTTTCCTTTCTCTTTGGAGTGTTACAAGCTCTTGGTGCATAAAGAAGATCTGTAAAGTTGCAAAGACTAAAGTCTCAAATCCAAAGAGATATTCTTTATAAAAGTTAAGAGTCAGCCACACCTACCTAAAACTGCTCGTTCTAACACGCCCTCACATATCTATGTCACGATGTGGGAAAATGTGCATAACGCCGCCCAAATGTTCACGCAAAGAAAGAAGGCGTAACTTCTATTCTCGCTGTAGTATTGTTGTTGCCGCCGCCATGTCGTGAAGGCCCTGTGTGTTTCATTGTGAAAGCGAAACTACTTTGTTTGGCCTTCCAAAAGAGCCCTCCGGCCATTCCTCACGCTAGCCCCCGGCCTCTGCTCACTCTAGGCCTCCGCCGCTCACTCAAGGCCATCGTGTGTGACTCTGTGTTTCATTGTGAAAGCGAAACTACTTTGTTTGGTCTTCCAAAAGAGGACACAACTAATGTAATATATATATATATATATATATATATATATATATAATATTATAAGTTCAAGTTCAAGTTAATTTGACTTGTATAGCACATCTACAGCAGCCGCTAGGCTGACCAAAGTGCTTTACAGAAGAGAAATTTATAAAAACATACACAGAAAACAAGCCAAATAAAAATATGAACAACCCATTAAAAAATTACAGAATAACAGTAATCAATACACTAAGGAAAACAGATAGGTTTTTAGCAGGGACTTAAAGACAGGCAGAGAAGGGGCCATTCTAATTTCTAAAGGCAGGGTATTCCAAAGCTGTGGCCCTGCCATCGCAAATAATAAATTAAACATTACATTGTCATAATAGTGTTTTATAATTTATACAGATAACTGTTATATAGGCTATATATATATATAGTAGGCTATATTACATTATTGTAATAATATATAATATTGTGCGCAATCTGTCACGCCCACTGAAGGCTCGTCAGTAGATCACATGTGCGCTGATAGCGCTGAAATGAACTAACCCTGAAACAGGTTATCTTCACAGAGCAAGTTGCTATGGCTACTTACATACCCTGAAAGTTACTTCCGATTTTGGAACCGAAAGCTGAGGTTATTCGCTCGCTTATCCTCAAACATACCCGGGTATGTCACATAACCTGCTTTCTGGAATACCCCCCTGATGATTGTGTCATCATTTGAAGATGATACAGTTCGGAAAGCATTTATCAGAAAGGTTGTAACAGTGGTGGCCCTAAGAGTAAATAAAAAAAACGTAATCAATACTTTTGTTCAGGCGCCAGACCGGGTGTTTTAAACCGGTCAATAAATAAACTCTGGATAACTCATTAAAACCACCAAAGTACATATGAAGATCGTGAAGAGGAAATGAATCAGATTAAACATACAATACTTTGCATATGCAAATTTATTACCGAGCATTAGGAGTACAGGTGGACAACAAGAGCTTCGTTCACAGCACAGACTAGAAGACCGGTAATATGGCATGCTCCAGGGCACGCACCTCCCTTCATTCCACTGTTCGCGTCGATCACCTCACTCCCCTACTTCCAAACAGACTCACTTTTCACACCGTAGCACGCGCTACTCCCACCTCATCACATCTCCGCAGCAGCGAGATTTCGCGCACTTCCGACATGCATGAACCAAGTCATAATCCTCTTTAAATAGTGTGTCCCTAATTATCCGTTTGTTCTGATTTGTCAACAACGTAATCAATCGCGTGGCGACTGGTTTTCGTTCCACCACACTCCCCCCTCCATGAAAAAAAACAACTCCGTTGTTAACCGTTTTGTGGTATATTAAAATCCCAAGAATTCTTCTTCCTCATCAGAGGTGTCCTGGAAGATCTCCTGTAGTTTTTTCCGGCTGCGAGATTCTAATTCCTCCGCAGTAGGGAAACAAGGTTTCAAATTAAATACATGTACATTATGTACATCCTCTCCTGTGGACTCTAGGGCAACTCTATAGTTTATTGGACCCAACTGTTGGATAATACGATACGGACCTTTCCACTTTGGGGTTAACTTGGCACTGAAATGGTGTTGAGCATTTGACTGTGGAAAATTTCGGACCCAGACTCGATCTTTCTCATTAAGAAATACGTCTCGTCTGTTTTTGTTGTAATTTCTTAACTGTCTGGTCTGTGCTTTCTTGCAGTTCTCCTTGGCCTTCCTTTGAAGTGCTGACAACTGGTACACAACGTCATATGAAGGACCAGAGGGGGCAAGGTTGCATCCATGCAATATTTTATCTAATGGGCTGTGGATTTTCCTGCCCAGATGAAGCTCAGCAGGTGACATACCAATGGATTCCTGAACTGCGGTATTGATGGCAAAACGCAGTTCTGGTAAGTAATGATCCCAACTCCTATGATTGTCTTCCACATATGCAGATACCATTGACTTCAAAGTTCTGTTTACTCTTTCTGTCATGTTGGTCTGGGGATGGTAAGCTGTGGTTAGTTTAGGGGTCATACTCCATTGGCTACACAGTTCAGTGAAGATGGATGAGATGAATTGTGTTCCTCGGTCTGACAAAATGTAGTCAGGCACACCCCATCTGGTAAGTATTTCTTTCCTCAGGATTTCAGCAATGGCTGGTGCTGTGGCACGTCTCAGGGGAAACAGCTCTACCCATCGGGTAAAGTAGTCTACAAAGACGAGCAGGTATTCATGTTGTTTGGAACTTTTGGGTAATGGCCCCATGATATCTACTCCAAGCATCTCACTCGGTCGTGAAGTGATGATGGGTTGCATTTTACCGGCAGGCTTCCTATTGTCACTCTTAAGAGTTTGACATTTGATGCAGTTCCTGACATATCCTTTTACGTCAGTCCACATACCTGGCCAATATCAACGGATTGGAATGGTAATATTGAAGGAGGGTGGATACCAGACTCGGAGGAATAACTACCCGGTACTGGATCTTACCCTCTGACAGGTGAGTGATGTGATATAATTTGTCTTCAAACACGGCGTACTGTTCATTTTCAGGTGTTTGGTGCTCTGCCAAAAGCTGAAAAATCTTAGGGATTTCAGGATCATTATGTTGTTCACTCCAGATAGTTTCAGGAGAAATTGGGAACTCTGAATCCGCTTTTTTACTAGTGTACATATTACACTCAGCTAAGTGATGTACTCGAGAAAGAGCATCAGGGGCAACATTCAACATTCCCTTCCGATATTCCAACACAAAATCAAATCTTTGTAGTCGAAGTGCCCATCGAATGAGCCTACTGGTCGTTTTGTTGGAATTGATTACCCACTGCAGAGAAGAATGATCTGTGATGACGGTGAACAGTCGATGTTCCAGATAGGGTTGCCACTTCTCAAGAGCCCACACTACGGCAAGGCACTCTTTCTCTGTAGTGGAGTAATTTATTTCTGCTTTGTTCAAGCTACGACTGGCATAAGCAATCACCTGTTCACTGCCTTGTTCTTTTCGTTGAGTCAGGACAGCGCCTAATCCGGTGTCACTTGCATCGGTATATACAGTGAATAGCAACTGCAACTGTGGATGCCCCAGAACTGGTGGTGATGAAAGACAAGCTTTCAAGTGATCAAAGGCTTGTTGACATAGATGTGTCTACTGAAATGACTTGTTTTTCTTCTTCAGAGCATTGAGCAATTTGGCACGAAACAATGATACCATCCGGCTAATCCCAGGAATCGTTGGACTTCCTTAAGATTTTTTGGGACTGGATAAGCATGAATGGCCTCTACCTTGCTTGGATCAGCAGTCACTCCTTGACTGTTGACAACATGACCCAGGAAGGAAATCTCACGAAGACAGAGTTTGCACTTTTTTAGGTTCAGAGTTACACCAGCTGATTGCAACTTTTGCAAGATGGTCTGAATGTCCATAAAGTGTTGTTCCCTCGTGGGAGAATAAATAATGATATCGTCTATGTAGACAAAACATATGACTCCAAGCAATTCCCTTAAGACAATTTCCATGAGTCTTTGGAACGTTGCTGGTGCATTTTTAAGTCCAAAAGGCATAACATTAAATTGGTATAGCCCACCTGACGTGATGAAAGCGGTCTTCTGTTTGCTTGCCGGTTCCATCGGGACTTGCCAATACCCACTATTGAGATCCAAAGTTGAAAATATTGTTGCACCAGAGAGGGACTCAAGAATTTCTGTGATGTTTGGTAGTGGATAAGCATCACTTTCAGTAATAGCATTGACTTTTCGATAGTCAAC